TCGGTACAATCGTACATTTTTGGGTAAGAAAACCAAGGGATTAAAGAGTTAGAATTGAGGGGCCAAATAATGCCAGAACACCATCGAATAAAACTAAAAGTGAAAACTGTGAAATACAATTACATTAGAAACAATATCAGCTAGGATGACATAAAATTGGCCTTGTTTGATGCTTGGGAAATAACCAAGACACTCGAGTTACTCTAGCAGTACGATGATCGTCTTATGTATAGAATATCTGGATATATCTAAGCAAGTACACGAGGTACTTCTATGGCTAACAAGGGCGCGAGGCCCGAGCACTCACGAGAAGTGGGTTAGTCGGGTGTTGTTTTTGATACAGAAATTTCAGATCTCACCCTAGGTATGCTAAAGGGATGTGTGTCCGAGATGTCGCAAACTCTCCTACCATACATGATGCCTACCCTAGATCCTGTACAACATACGTGTATGCTTATATTTATTTTACTTGTTAGCATGAGCATTTAATGAACCATGTAGTATGGTTAGTTGTTAGTGTGACATTGAGCTAGTGAGCTCATCGTTCGAAATTTGTTTTCGCGCGCATGTTTTTCAGGAGCATTCAAGGAGCTTATCGCGCAATTGACGTTCCAGATAGTCCAAGCATTAGAGTATGTCTTCAGTCTTATTAAAGGGAGCTCCCCGTTGTAAACTCAATACTTATGTTTGATTTTATGCCTTATTGAATGGTCTTTAAATGATTTTTTACAAATGTTTTAAAGAAAATTTTGGGTTAGCAACTACGGTGGTCCCGTGTGATATTCTAATTGGTCGACCTCGATTCATTTTGGATTAGAATGTTACAATCGCGACCAAAGTAGAGTATTAGGTAATCAACAAACACTAGGAATAGGGGTGAGAGAGATGTGCTCTCAAGCACGATCAGGAAGGTTTGAGATTTATAGGGTTGCGCACGAAATATTGAAGCGACACATCACAGGATGAAGGGTGGATAGAAATAAAAGGTGTATCAGATTGGATTCTAGAAACAAAAGGTTTTAATATTTTCTTTTAATTTGGTGTTTATACATGGAGGGTCAAGGATATGCAACGCCGATGCACAATTTTTTTTTGAAATATATGAATAAAAATTGATCGAAAATGAAGGGACATTTGCTTGGATACTAGGAAAAGCTAATGATTTGTGATTTTTTTTTTAATTAGGGCTTAGATGGCTAAATCGACGAGATAATGTGTTGGGATTATTTATTTCACGAGATAATGCTATCTCCATATTATTTGCTGAGATAGGATAAAATCCACAGTGCAACCGTAGGTCGCCATGCCGTCCCCGCAAGCTGTTGAAGGTCGCCATGCATGCATTGGAGGTCGCCATGCAATCCAACCAAGCAAGGTCGCCATATAATTGCTGCAACCAAGCTGGTAAGAAAGAAGATGAGAGTTGTATGGGGCTGCAAGATCATGACATGTGTTTCAAAATTTGAAATAAAAATAAAAATAAAAAAATTCAACTTTCACTTGCCAAAAGGAAAAGAAAACAAACGTAGGTGAAACCAACTTTACAACACTTGGGCCACACAACTCTCATTATTCTTTCTTACCAGTTTGGTCGCATCATCACATGGCGACCTTGCTTGGTTAGATTGCATGGCGACCTCCAACCATGCATGCATGGCGACCTTCAACAGCTCGCGGGGACGGCATGGCGACCTACGGTTGTATTATGAATTTCACCTTATCTCACAAATAATTTGGAGATAGCATTATCTCGTGAAATAAATAATCCTAACACATTATCTCGTAGATTTAGCCGGGCTTAAATGGTTGATTTGAAATGACACAAAATCGATTAATATATATTGTTGATTTGATGTTTTTACATATGTTTACATATCATTAAACTGATGACATTGCATATATTACATTATTCAAAAATGTGTGATGTGTCACGCCACTTAAAATGATGATATGGTATGTGTCACGCCACTAATTAAACCTATGTGAAAATGACATATTAGTAATGATCATTAATCAACTAATGATTTCATCTAAGAGTGGATTTTAACCAAAAATCAAAATATTAAGACTAAAATGCTAAAAATGAAGGAAAAAGTCATTTGTGTAAATATTGGAGTTAATTTTTTTAAATTATGCTCCATTTATATGTTTAATGAAAAAAATAAGTATCAAATTACATTATTTGTACATTTTAAATGCTTAAAATATTTTCGTTCAAAGTGAGTGTATAACGTTTATGATGTTACATTGTAGATACCTAAAAAATAGTGTTGCAAACGTTTACTCTATCTCGAATAAACATAATTTAAACGCATAAATGAGTAAAAGATATAATTTAATTATTTATTTGTACATTAATTCTTTATGATATAATGCATTTAATTTACATTGATACCCCTCATATATCAACGGTGGAAAGTTCACGTGAAACAATAAACCTAAAAACTGCTGGAATCACGTTCACGTAATTATATTGAATCTTCCTCCACGCACTCCTTGATTACCGTTAAATGGGTCCGATTTCAAAAATAATCAATCTTTTGAAAAATCCATATGAATCAATGGTGCTGATCTCAATAAAAGGATGTGGACACCATTTTTACTCATTTACAACACCATTATACGTTACGAACAAAACCCCAAATTTACAAAATCAATAATGAAAGAACCCTAAATATCAGATATCTCCTCATTCCCCCCATCAAAGAAAGCCCAACTTTTTTCTTGATAAAAGAAGAGATAAATAACCCACTCCTTTCGTTAGAGAAGTAGAGTTGTTTAGAAATGGAACCTTTTGATATGTCAGTTTGTTTCGACGACAAGTTATTAGACTTTGGCTCCGATGTGGGAGAGAAAGATGAAGATGAACACAGCTTCTCCGAGCTTAACCCTAATCCTTCTTTTCCGGTAAGTTCTTTTTTTTCTATTTTTCTTTTACCGGCTTATAGTACTGAAATTTTTCGAGCTTTCTCGGCGACGGAGAGGGTTTAAAGAGGCCAAGTTTGGTGCTAACTCGGCCGAGTCTTTGCTGTTTGGTAGTTTTTCTTTTTCTCGAAGGCTTGGGGGAACTAGGTAGGAGAGGTGACTCGGTTCAACTCTGTTGGGGCGGGGGATGGGTTGTTTGGTCCTGAGTCGAACTCGGGCGGTTGTTTCCGAGTCTGGGATGAAAATTGACCCGGTCCGGGTCAAAGTGGACGGCATTGAAAACTGGTACTTGCGTTTTTTTTATTGATTGCTCATGCGATATTTTTGTGGATGACAAATTTACCCATATTGGTCATTTTCATTATTGGATACGACAGGCACGTGAGGTTGAGGGTAGTTTTGGTTTTGTGATAGTTGGGGGAATGTCGTTATTTGAGATGAGCTGTCAAACACCATGCTTATGAGCTGTAGTAATAAATGAGTATTATATATATAAAAATAGACTAAACTACATACTTATTTTATTTTATTTAATTATTATTTTTAAAATATATTATTTTATTTATCTAATCATCAATTATTAAAAAAAATAAACATCAGTGATAATATGATATATTTTTTAATAATAATATGTTATTATCTTTCAGTGAATGAAAGTAGCACCATTAAATTTTTAACACGATCCAAACAAAATCCTAACATTAAATAAACTACAAGTAATGTTATTTATAAATTTTATTAATATTAAACGTTTATATATATAGATAGAAGTATTCAAATTTAAGAATCTATTTTACCATCAACCATCAATTGTTATGATTATTTTTAAAATTCTTTTCAATTCGAAAAAGTCAATCATGCCAACCTTTCAAACATTCTATTTAGCTGTTGCATGCTAAACCTACAAGACCTATCTTTGTCCTTTTCTCTGTTAACGAATGTCCACGATTTAAAACGTTTAGAGCCGACAGAGTTAGCCAGCTGAGTTAAAAATTTTGTTTTCAATGTTGGCAGGAATTCGCAGAGGAAGAGCTGGAATGGTTAAACAAGGATGCATTTCCAGGCGTGGAGACATCATTCTGTTTTAGAGAAGCAGCAGAGCCCGGTGTCAGTACTCGAAAACAGTAGCAGCAGCAGTACTTCAGGTAGTACCACCGGGAACATCACAACGTTCCCGGTGAAGGCGAGGTCGAAGCGTGTGCGTAAATGCCGGGACATGAGGAACCAAGAAAACAGGTGGTGGTGGGCTAAGGAGAAGGTGAAGAGGACGAAAGGGGGTCGGAAATGCCACCATTGTGGGGCGGAAAAGACACCTCAATGGAGGGCAGGCCCGGTTGGGCCTAAAACACTCTGCAATGCTTGTGGATGAGGTATAAGTCGGGGCGTTTGGTGCCGAGTATCGTCCGGCAAGCAGCCCTACTTTCTCCGATGAGTTGCACTCCAATTCCCACAGGAAGATATTGGAAATGAGGAGGCAGAAGCTGTTGGGAGTTTCTGTAATCAACCCTATGGATAAACGGTAGTGTTCTTGTCAGCTGAGCGGAGCACTCGATTTTATTTTATTTTTGTTTAATTTTGGGCCTCTTTTTTAGTATGTAACAAGTTCTTTAGGAGATGGCTTGTAATGGGGTTAGTGATACTCTCCTACTTTTCTTTTATTACTTTTATTTATGAAGAAGTCGAAAATCCATTAGGGAATTTTAACTTTGATGTGTTTTGGTTTTTAGTATTAGTCAAAATGTTGGGTTCCAGAATGCGTGTATTGGGGGGAGATGTGCTCATTCTTTATGAACTTGTGATGGAGTTGAACTTCACAGGGGTAAGAAAAGTAAAAGTAGGTTTGGAGTTTGAATAATTAGGTTTATTCCTAATAGAGATCTTTAATCTCTTATACCGAGAATGGGACTTCATGGTCTTTAGCATGAGGAAGGCACACTATAGGAAAAGCTGATGTAAACACCACCTTCACCACCTCAAACAACTCCACAGCTGATGCTATCCTCTATTTAAAAGGGGAAGCTGCATAATATCAAATATTCATTACTAATCCAAAGGCACACTTACAGAATCACAGAATGTCGATGCAACCAACCCAAAGTTTCATTACAATCTTGATTGCTGCCGTCTACATGGTAACATGTTTTGCAACAGAAGAGCCCGTCCTTGAGTTCTACATGCATGATATCCTCGGAGGCATTAGCCCCACAGGTCGACCGATAACTGGCTTACTCGGAAACGTTTACAGTGGTCGAGTACCTTTCGCTAAACCCGTAGGATTCCTCCCCCCCCCCCAAGGTGGGGTTGCAATCCCAATGGTGCTATTCCTACCGTCAATGGCGTCAAAGGTCTTCCTCTAGGAAAAGGCTTAGCTGGTACAGCTTTCGCCGGTAATCCAAACCAAAATGGTATCCCCCTAAGACCAGATAGCTTGGGACTAGGATTTGGAACCATCACCGTCATCGACACATACCGCTAGCCCTGAAATGGATCACAGACAATAGGGAAAGCTCAGGGGTTTACGTATCCAGTTCAGCTGATGGAACAACACAAATGATGGCATTCACGGCTATTATAGAAGGCGGAGAATACAACGAATACTTGAACTTCTACGGAGTTTACAAGGTCGGAAGCACCGTGTCACATGTATCAGTGATCGTGGAACCGGCAAGTTTAAGAATGCTTGTGGAGTTGCTGAGGTTCGACCGCTTATACCACCAGGTCAACATGTCACGGATGGCGCTGAGACGTTGCTGAGGATCACAGTCCATCTCAAATACTAAAACTCGAAAAGGTTGCATGTTTTTCTGCAAATTATGTGTACCTGTATGTGTGAAAATGAACATGGGCATCAATCTTCATTGTGACAATGTTGAAATTCAAAAGACTTCATTGATTTAGCAAAATGAAAATCCCCAAACTGCAATTTATAATCACACAAATTTTACGATAAGTGCGTAAACAGTAAAAAAGTAGGGAAAGGTTGATGCTCTATTCGGTAACGATTTTGACCAGAGAAATTACAGCCGTTTGATCAAGTCCGTGGAGAGAATCAATCAAGTGCATCCGCAACGAAGCCGGACCTCCAGCCCTCTCCATCCCGATCTCACCGGCAACGCCAAAAAGGCCAACGCCGAAGCCGTAGCTTCCAAAGCATGCGAAGGATCAATTGCCACAAAAGCAGCGATCAAAGCCGTGACAGCGCATCTGGTGGCTGTAATCTTTTGCATCATCGGCACGCCGTTTCGTACTCCGACGGCTCGATTCCCATCGGTGATGATATCGACCGCACCTGAAACCGCTACTACAGCACCACTGGAACTAACCAAGGATTTGGCGGCTTCACGGCGTCGGTTGAATCGTGAGAACTATCCACGCCTTTGGTGGATGAGGATCCAAAGGACGCGTTAGCAAAGGCAATGATTTCGGAGGCGTTGCCTCTGATGACGGAAGGCTTCAGGGAGATCAGTTCCAAACACGCCTTTAGCCGGAAACAGGAAGCACCGGCGGCGACGGGGTCGAGGACCCAGTGTTTATTGAACTTGGAAGCCAACTGGGCGGCGACTTTCATAGCCGGTAGCTAGTTGTCGGAAAGAGTTCCTACGTTGATATAAAGAGCGTGGACATGAGGGGTGAAATCTGGGGATTCAGTTGAGTGAAGCATGGCGGATGATGCATCGGCTGATAAGAGAGTGTTGGCCGTCAGATCCATGGAAACAAAGTTGGTGATGCACTGGATTAACGGTGAAACAGAGCGGACTATGCTGAGGTAGGCCCACGCCTTTGAATCCCATCCACTCACTTCTTCGTCTTCCATCTCCATCTTCTCTTTCAGTGGCTTACCGCAGTGCAGCGTGCTTAACCAATAACTGCTGATAAAAAAGTGACTTTTACTTTCTCCCCCGTTTCATAACCCAAAGATATTTATGGATAAATGGTCCCAGTTATATCATTATAAAATGATCTTTAGATATTATGCATCACTTTTTGAGTTTATAACCTTATAAAGTTACAAAAATATCATTAAATTATTTTTATGTTTTAAAATCTTTTTTTTAAAGTTGAAGGTCGTTTCAGCTAAACATTAACACTTATAGACTAAAATAAAATTTGGCCATAAAACTTATCCAAAAAAAAAAAAATTGGCCATAAATTGTTTGAATTGTATAGTCGTTTGAGATTTTCAGATTTAGATTTTATCATATTCTAGTAAATCATTAAATTTAGTTCAGACGTCGATAATTTTGTAGTAGAAAAATATTATTTTAAAACATATGAATAATTGAGCGATCATTTTATAACTTTTAATAATTAGGGAATTCAACAAAAGTATTGTCCCATAATCAGAAGATTGTTTTATAACTTTTAATAGTTGCAAAACTAAATAAATTAACACCTTATAATTGAAGATCATTGTATAATTTACCCAATATTATTTAGTAGTAAACTATATCATTGAAATATAAATAAATATTTGGGTAAACTACACTATTGACCACTTAACTATTTAGCTATTTTATTTTTGTCATCGAACTTTTATTTTTTCCAATCAGACCACTTAAGTATTTAATTGTAATCAATCAAGCCACTAGCTCTTATCATTTAATAGAACTACTGACATGACTGTTAAATATTTTTATATAATTATACATATGGTCCTTATTGTTTATATATCCTTTCAATTTGATCATATTTTTATAAATTAAAATAAATTTACTCATCCAAATAAATGGTGTAAATGTCATCATTCAATTGTATGATTAAATTTATTTTAATTTGATATATTTGTTCGATCCAGGATGGAGGGGAAGATAAGAACAAACCCAACCATTGAATCAAGTCCAATATTGGTTTAAAGCGACAACACTCTCTATATATATTTTTATCTTTGTGTATAAACATTTAACTTAATTAATAACATTTTATATTATTTAAAATATATTTTATTTTTATCTCAACTTATTAAATATTTATTATTAACTTAACTTAAGATTGTTTTCGTAACACCCCAAATAATTCCTAATTTGAAACCCTAGAATTTTGGGGAAATTGTTCAAATCCCTAATTTCTATTTGGTCAAATTGAAAATTTGGAAAGATTGAATCCATATTTCGTGAAACCTAAACAGTTTGATGACCAACCGTGAAATTAGACCAAAGTTGGTTTAAAACCAATTCTAAGTCCCCCCCCCCCCGCGCGGCTTTGTTCTCCTTTATTTATTTTCTTTACACAACCCTTCGCCGTAACCCTAGCTGCGCCGCACTCTTCACACGCTCGCCTCGCCGTCTTTAATTATCAAGGTGAGTTCGCCGGCCATCCCTATTGACACCGTCGTAACCCCGTTCGCAGTCATCGTCGTTTGAGCGACTTTTCATGAAACCCGCGAGCTTGACTCGTAATGTCACCCGTTGTTGATTTCCTCAAATTGAATATGAAATTATTTTATTAATTCTTTGATAATTATTACTTTAATTTGGGAATTGGTTTATTGGGGATTTGATTCTCGGTCGTAATTTTGCAGGAAATATTGAACCGAGAATCGAGTTACCTCCTCTGTCACCGTTACCCATGAATATCAAACCGAATCGTATAACTCATGTCGACCGTAAGTGATAGCTGACAAATTTTAGTACGTTAAATCCGTAGTTAATTTTAGAATTATTTATTTATTTAAATTACTTATTGTAGACACTGATTCGGATCGAACTTACTGCTCGAGCTAATCGTGGTAGAGGTTATTATCGTCGTTAGCTATCTGTCGAGGTGTGTCTCTGTCGATGCTATATTAAATTATGTGTTTACTTGATTGTTTGGTATGTACTGATAAATTGTGAGATTGACTGTTTTGTGAAATTGGTTGAAATTATTTGCATTAAATTCGGATAAATATTATGTGTTGTATATTGATATATATGTTGTGCATTTGGAATATCTGATTATTATGATCTGTTAGACAACAATTGTGTTATGTGTAAAGTGTTATTTATTAGATTCAATTTATGCTATGTGTTCGGACTCTGGAATCATGTAACTACATTCTCATTCGGATCAGATCAAAATTTAGATATACGATATTCGAGTACATGTTATTCGGATATGTGTCATTCAGATCGAATCATAGATCAGATATATGTGTCATTTTCATATCATAGAGACTATTTCTGATAGAGGAAGTTAGTACATTCACTCGACGGAGTAAATGTCACTTTTTTAGATTCAGTGACATCTGCCTTTGTGGCAGACCCCACTCACATAGTGTGTTTAGTTGGTATATAATGTGGTTCTAGGGAACCCACTCTTCGGATGGCGTGTTAGGAGTACACGCAGATGTATGAACATTTGCATCACATTTAAATTGTAATTACCGTTCATGTTTTGGCGTATGAATAGTCATGTAAATGTTTTGGATTATGCTTTTACTTGTGATTGATTGCACTTTAAAGACACGCCAAGCCTTATAGCTTACTCCTCATAGTTTCTCTTTCAGACACTCGACTTAAGAGATCCGGTACTTAGAGAATCACATTCAATATTCAGTTAAAAACATTATTTAGTATGAATTTTTATTTTACATTTCTTTATCGATTTTGTTATATATTTTTGAATTATCTAATTTGTAAATTTGAGACTTTGGACATTACAGTACTTTGAAACGTTTTTGCATGATTTAGAAATAATTATTATTTATATAAAAAATTTCTTCGAATATTTTACTTTAATAAATTATGAATTATTAACTTGGGATTTGTTACTTTACTATAAATATTATTTTAAGTTTGTAATGATCATGACATATTTGGGGGAAATTGATTTAAAATAGACTCTTTAGATTCGATCTAATTTCTTTTAGATCAGATTTAGGGGTTATAGTTTTATTATTATTTTTATTTAAAAATTAATTTTTAAAAATATTTATAAATTAAGATAAAAATAATATTTATTTTTAAAATTAAAATAAGAATAATTAAGCTAAGATAAGAATAATATATATATTTTTAAATTAAAAAAATAATAAAACACTTTTAAATTAAGTTAATAATAAAATATATTTAATAATTTAAAATAAAAATAAAATATATTTTGAAAGATATATAATATTATTTTTAAATATATACACGAAGATACAAAATATACAGAGTGTTGTCTAGCTTAAGCTATAGTTTGAACTTACTTCAGTGATTGTGTTTATGCTTAACTTCCCTATGTTCTTGGATCAAATCCTCTTTGCCCCAATTTTGCTTGGACATAATTTGATTAGATGAGTAAATTTATTTTAATCTATAAAAGTATGACTAAATTGTAAGGATATATAAACAATAAAGGTCATATGTTGATTTATATCAAAATATTTATGACACATCAATATTTTCGTCAACTTAGAATGGCTAGTGGCTTGATTAACTACAATTAAATAGTTAGGTGATCTAATTGATAAAATTAAAAAATCAATAGTAAATGTAAAAAAGACTAAATAATTAACTAGTTAATAATATAATTTACCCTAAATATTTTTAGTATTAAAAATTTAAAATAATATAATTATTTTTTAATAACCAAACTTTAAAAATAATAAAACGATTATAATTTTTTTAGCTAGAACCAAACAACCTCAATCATAAAGAAATTATTGTTATTTTTTTAAGTTTCTAATTCAAGCACCAATAATGATAGGAATATGAGCGTTCAATTTCAAATGTTTGAAAGTTATATTTGAACAAATACTATCTTATACTTATCCTAGATTAAAAAAATATATCTTCCTAAAAAATTGTCATATAATTTTATAAAATATTTAATTTGTCATCGAATTATGTATATAGTGCATAGAAAGCGAGATAAAATAATTAGAAAAGAGGTCGAGTCAATTTGGTCCATTAGGCATTGCTAGGGCAAATAGAAAACTACGAGAATCCCTCGATTTTTTTCTTCTGGTAAACCTCCACAGCGAAGGCTACAGAATATATCTAAACGAGCAAGAGCAGCACCAAAAAAGATAGAAACGACATGGCCCACGGTGGCTACGGTAAGCGGCGCGTGGCGGAAGGGAATCGCGTTGGCCGGCGATCAAAGGGACCTAGCGTAGACAAGAAACCTAATCCAAAAGCCGTTTCTCTCAAGAACCAGATACGCTCCATTGAACGTATATGTTTCACTACACTTAAAAATTTTATTTTTGAATATTCTAATATGATTATTAGATAATATATATGTTCGATTTTAAATCCAATTAAAGTCGTATACATTTACAAACAAAACTGCTAGAACTCAAAACATCAGAAGAATAACATTCATTTTATCACTAATACCATTCTTTATGTTTGGTGAATCGTATTTTCTTAAACAAAATATAAAATAAAAAATATTATATTATAAAATTAAATTTTTATGTATGCTTCATTAATTGTGTTTTGTGATTATATGAAAGTTCATTTAATCACATGTCCTTAATTATGAGCATCTTCCTTTTTGTTCAGAGATTATACAGCCTTGCAAATCTTTCTATTTGTTGGATAATTGCTAAACCCGTCATATATATATATATTAACAAGGATGGGTTAAGGTGAGGTTGTATCCCTAAAATTTTCAAATTCCCTTATATTTTAGATTTTTTATTGTATTTTCTATTGATTATTCATTTTATACCTCTAAAATTTTCTAACTCCACCCCTCTTAATTTTTTTAATATAACTTTTTAAATTCGCAACCACTTACATAAATTTTTATGTACGTCCATGTATATATATATATCGTAAATCTTTCAATTTGTTGGATAGTTGTTATATATATATAAAAATTAAATTAATATGGGTGATTATAAGTAGTAAGGCCTAAAAAATTTACGGAGAATAATATATATTTTTAATCACTGACATAAGATTTAAAAAGTATATAAATTTTATTTTTTTAAAAATACTTTTTTATTTAAACAATTATGAAAATGAGTAGAATCTTACGAAAAGATGTGATGATGGAACCCAACATGTAATATATGAATTAAGTCACTATCTCGGGATTATATAAATTAAATTGTATATTATGATTAATTAATTAAATGTTCAATATTCTAAATACCCACACAAGATTTGCCTAACCTTTTCGAGATTTAATTGTATGTGTTGATTCATGTATGGAATACTAATTAATTATTATTGGTATTAAAATCGTTTTTCTTTTCCCCTCATTAAGAACATATTCCTTTGGGTGTTATATTCCTCAAATAATCATAGCCAACTTATTTTGATATTAAATAGCAGTGAGCCAATCATGGGTTTACACTTCTTAAACCCTATAATTCTAGGACTAGGTTTGTCCTGTCTTTGTAACATGTTTTTCATTTTCTTTCTCGATCATTTGGTAGGTCATTTTATTTTATGTTTTCTCATGGTTGAATTTGACGGCGACACGACTAATCAAGATGTTGCTTATCTATAATCTTGTTGATCTTCCCTACTATGGACCCTCGGATTGAATTTGGATACGCGGTTTTTGTGTTCGTGAATAGTTTCTCAGGACGTTCGTCTCTAATTTGTTATTCTCGGTGGTCTTTCAATAGCTTAATCACTTTTTGTGATTCATTTGTCGATGGATTCAAATTTGTTCGTATCTATTTTCGTTTGAGCCTTTTGGTGAGGTTTTAACCTTTTTCATGTATAACCATTGTATGATCTAAAGTGACTAGTTTCAATGTCATAGAAAAATGTTCAAATTATGTATTTAGTTTACCATGATAGTTGCAAGGCAAAAATACATCAGTGGTTCTTGTACTTAAAAAAACAATGTGACCCTCAAATTATTTTTCTCTCAGTGTGACCCTCCAACTCAAAAAATAAACCCGGCCCTTTAACCAACATTTTTCGTCATTAACTGTTATAGTGCTAACGTGACAGTTCACGGTGCTGATGTAACAGTCTATGGTGGTTGATAACATGGTAGATAACATGACAAATGAGCTAAATTGATAACTCAAACATGACAAATGGACTGTCATGTCAGCTCTGTAACGGTCAACATTGAGATAAAAATTAATACAAGAACCATATTGGTTTTTTTTCAAAAGTATAGAGACCTCTAATGCCTTTTTACTTTATTGTAAACTCTTATTGTAATTTTGTATATTCATTTTTTAATAAGACTAGCAACTTCTATTGAAAAAAGTAATAACACAGAGGAAATCAATTTGTTTCGATTCAGTTTTTTTAATAGAATGAATCCAACTGTATTACACAAATTTTAAAAATGAAATTGACATAAATACCAAAGTTTTTGGTTTAGGTAAGTTTGGTTTGATTTTGTAATTTTTAATTGTTCATCATTTTTCAAACTTAACATCCAAAAATATATTTTTAAGCTTAAATCGAGTACAAACACACAAATTTGAATTAAAAAAATAATACTATTAGTTTTTAGAATTTATTTATCTAAGTTTGTCTTGTAACAAATTCAAAACCGATTTGATTTAGACCATTAGTCTGTCCTTTTTAATTCAATTTTATTTAAAAAAAACACAGATTTTAAATGAAAAAATCGCAACCGTACCGAATTATAAAAATCAAACAATAAATAAAAATTTCGAACCGAATGGAATAGGGTATGGTTTGAATCAGTTTTTTTTCTCAACCCTATTAATAGAAACAAATATTTCAGTACAATGTAAGTGGGAGAGACGACAAGGCTGAATGTCTCATTAATCGCTACATGAAAACCGACAACATTTGAGAACCGAAACCGCTTAGATAACAAACATATTAATACAAGAGACCAAATTAAACATACGCCCATGAAACAGTAGGGCATGGCGTCTGAAGAGACCAAATTAAAGAAGAAAGTAACTATTACAAGCGTTGCCTTCATTCGAACAAAATCTCACTACTACTTC